TACATTGTTTCTGCCGTGAGTTGACGATAGTAAAGTTTTTTTTTTTTTAATGTTGTGTTAAAACGTGTAGGTACTCAATTGTAGGGATATGCAGTTGTATTTGTCAATAAACGAGTATCATAGCTTCAAGTATGTACAAATAAGACTTTAATACATATATTGGACTTGAGTTTTCCTGCCCTAGCTGATTCCTTGCTGTCCTGGAAGGAAATCTGTGGAAGGGTACAATACACCTGGTAGGGTGGTCTCAAGATGATAACCAACTTAAAATTACATCAGCCTCAAAACATCTAAAAAGTGTGAACAATGCAAAATGTCTTAATTCACACATAAAATAGCATTTATTAGGCTAACATCTCAGAGAACAAAGGCAATTTAAAAATTAATTTATCTGGTCAGCACATTCAAAACGAAAACTGATTACCAAAATGTTATTCCAACACCCTGTGTAGAATAAGTATCACAGATAATGACAATAGATTAAAAATATTACAACTTCATAGTAACAGTGCAAAAAGCCAAATAAGTAATGGGAAATGTTTCAATTTGCTTGATTTAAAACAGAGTGAATTAACATTAGACTCGGGGAGTTGAGGGCAGAGCCTGCTTGACATGCCATAGTCATTGGTTCAATATTTTAGGGAAAAAAGTTTGAAGAATCAAAGTGATCAGGAACGGCTCATAAGATTGCAGGAGGTTAGACTGACATTGGAGCTTGCTCCAGATCACCTCTATAGGTCAATAATTATAGCTTCAACTTCATAGTGTGTTATCAGAATCAAAGTATGTTTGGACATGATATGAATAACAGCGACCAAGACGCTAAAGTGGTGGGAACATCATGATGGCATAAATGAAAGCGATCAGTGAGGGAAAATGTTGGTTAATCATAAGCGGTATTATCATTGCGATAGTCAGCAATAATCATTGTCCTAATAGTTTTAATACTTGGACACTTTACTTGCAACAAAAAATAGAATATTAGATTGAATTCTTTATTGGAATATAAAGCGTTTTCCAGTATTTTTTGCTGATGGCAGCTTGATGAAGTGGAAATGCTTATTCTCCATCCTGAACTCAGTCAGTGTTGGCTGAAGAAACTACTGTTGGCTCTGTTTGTGCTGATATTGACATTTTCTCTCTAAAGAAGATAATCAGGATCTGGTTTCTCAGCAAAATCTTTTGTTTTCTTTCCCAATCTGCCACTATCTATTCAGGAAAAGAGAGGAAATCCTTTTATTCTCCTTTGCTTGCACTTCTAGTGTTTCCTGCTGCTCTTCTAAAGAGTTTCACTTGGGCGAAAGCCCTGCAGTTATTCTGTTTCATCCTTTGCTTTTTGCAGGAGAACAGACAGTTTGGATCCAAGATGACAGACTCCAAGTACTTCACTACTACCAAGAAAGGTCTGATAACTTTCTTTATGTTCATAAATAGCTTCCTGTATTAAATTGCTGTATTTATATTGAGAAATGGCTCCTTTAGACAAATTATTATAGCCAAAAAACATTAACTTTGCTGCTTTTGAAAAGAAAGAACGCATATATTTTTATCAGCGTGCAAATATATCATGATAGATTGTGTTCTGCCTCTACATAAGTAAAGAAAATAAAATTATTTATGTGTTGGGATTAATAAAATATCCTGGTAAAGTTGCATATTGCAAACTAATGTCTGAATCTTTAGATTTACTAGAAATGTAATGGCGTGGATCTTTTTTTTTTAAGCTCTCATCTAGTAATTCTGGTAGCATCTAGAAGGAGTTTACATTAAGCAGAAAACTCTAATTACCTAGGATCAAATTTAAGGCCATAATTGCCCTTTATTGACATGTTTATAGATTAACTTGCTTTGTGTAAAGAAACACATGATTGTAAACAGACTTTATCCTAACAAAATATTCCCAGGATGACTTCAAACCTCTCGCAGACTTAGTTTCTACTGACAAAATACAAAGTTTAATGAGAGTAATAGATGACATGCACATTCTCACAATAAATGACTTCCCACTCTTATTGTTGTGTGTGGTGCAAATAATATATGTCTACCTGTCCTGCTGTGTAAAAGCCAGGAATTATGAAGCTCTTAAATTTCCTATGTTATGAAAGATTGTTGCTCAGGCGCCAAGTGGCTCAGGAGTTTGTCCCACCGCTCCATCCGTCTCAGTCAAAACACTTTACCCGCCTTACCTGCTGGTGGTGGTCAGAGGGCCTGGTGGCGCTGGCTGAATGGCAGCCATGTTTAACCAGTAACTCATCACTTAGCTACAGAGAACAAGAATAAAAAGTAGTGTTCAACTATTGGAAATATTACATTTGAATTAGGCCAGTTCAGAAGAGCCTAGGAACCTCTGAGGGATAAGTAACCAGAAAAAAAAAACTAACTCAGAATAATATTTTAAATATGTTGTATTAATTTAAACAGTTATATTCAAGAGATACAGAAAATAAAACGAGAAGTTTGTTTACCAAAGTAATAGTCTCTGGCCATCAGAATAGATTCTGTTTAACTCTCCGTCCATTAATGGACCAGTTTCACATCTTGGTCCAGACGTGAAACTGGATCAAGCCTTTGCCTTTCAAGCTCTCTGGTTCTCCAGATCTTGGCCATACCAAAAAAATGAGTCCTGACCTGACCAGTTCAGCACACTCAGGATAGACAGAAAAACTGTCGCCAGCCCTCTGCTCAGCCGTTACACCCACCCACTCTCAACACTTTTATACTGCTTTAACATGTTTTAACCCATTGATTTAAGCTTTTACCTTTTAGATTTTAAATGCACATTTTTAATTGCACACTATTGTGAAATGTATTTATTATTTTCACACTTCCATCAGTTTTTATGACAGATTTTCTAATGTTCTATCAGACTGCCCCCATGGTAGCTGTGGTTAAAATGTAGCTTATCACCATCAGCATGTGAACGACTGTAACGTAAAGCACATCAGAGTCCTCAGACCTGATAACGTTCTACACGAGTACAGGACACTTACCGTTTTCATAGTTTTCAACGCTCTGCAAGCACTTTGAGCATGTTGTTCAGCAGCACAGCACTTATTTGTATATTTATAAGATTATTCAATGACAAATGAACCACATCAAATACAGAGACTCACAATAAATCCTACTTTCAGAATTGTTTTGTGTTGATTTAAATGTATGATAAACTAATAAGGATGTCAGTAAAAAGGGAACATCACTGCTTGTAATTTCCCCTTTTAAATCCTTTAAAAGAACCATCACAACATTAACAGAAAATATTTAAAATAAACACACAATCCACTTGGTTTTATTTAAAACAATAATTGACTCAGCGATTATGCTGCTCTGCAGAGAACTGATATTAACTGGTTAATTAGTTAAACTACAGCAGATAGCTGGTGGCCAGCATGCAGTCAGATAAATTGTAGTCATTGCACTCATAGCTTCTTCCCTGCTGTACTTTTAAAACAGCATTTCTGGGTAAAGTGTTCTTTCAATTTCCATATTGTGAGACTGTGCCTTTCACAATTAGAAATATTTCTCCCACCAAAAAAAACAAAGTCTTTTTTAAGCAAAAGAAAAGTAAAGTAGTCTCTTTTTTCAGCCAGTCTACGTACAGCAAATGGCACCAGATCTGCTAATTATGGGCCTAGAGAAGTCCAGCTACTCCTGACACTTTTTGCAGCATCTCATTTAAAAGTGTGACTTTTAAACGTCACCACTTCAATAAGAGTGATAAGGAGCTCTCCTTCAGTTTCCACACCATGACTGTCGGTGCTTTATATGATCAAAAATATTTAGAAACTGCTGACTTTGTCCGTCCTGTGAATGAGGGAAATGTGTAGAAGCGTACTTTCAGCCAGCTGACTGCAGCAAGCAAGGCAGTTTTTTGACAACTGTTTCTAACATTTTCCGCAACATGATACTGCTAACTGACTGGTTCTGCTCACTTTTAATGCATCATAGCACGCTAAAATGGAAACATTTTGGCCTTTGTTCTTTGTTTGTTTAGGGGAGATTTTTGAGCTCAAGGCGGAGCTGAACAGTGACAAAAAAGAGAAGAAGAAGGAGGCTGTCAAAAAGGTCATTGCATCAATGACAGTGGGGAAGGATGTCAGGTGAGCAGCTAGAAATGACGTCAGAAACGAACAAAGTGTGTGATGGCACTGGTCTTCTAACAGGTGATTTCTCCTGCAGTGCTCTGTTTCCAGATGTGGTGAACTGCATGCAGACCGACAACCTGGAGCTGAAAAAGCTGGTCTACCTCTATCTTATGAACTATGCCAAAAGTCAACCAGACATGGCTATCATGGCTGTTAACACCTTTGTGAAGGTGAAGCTCAGCCTGTCATTACTGTTTGTGATGGTGTTTGTATGCCGTCAGTTCAAGCAGTTAAATAATTTCAACTTGCAGTTTGTGTGTGTGTGTGTTTTGATTTTTTTAAAGTACTATTTGCATGGAATCAGGAAATCAAAAGGGAGAGGTATAATTTTACAAGTTTGTCTCTTAGTAACAGGATTGTACTGGTTTTTACAGTAGCAAATTACTTTAATGCAGCACATAATTGCTGTGTGGGTAGTGTTGTCTGTAATTTAAACCTGTTTATACGCATTTCATGAGAAAAACTCATCACTGCTCCTTGAAGTTCTTTGTCCCCTTGGGTATTTTTTTTCACTCGTCTGATGGCAGCTTAAGCTCCAAAGATCAGTTTCTGTGTTGCCATCTAGAGCTTTTCATTAAGCATTTTACTTTTTCATCCTGTCTTCTAATTTAAGAAGACTGCACCCCATAGTTTGTTTGACTATTCTAATTTAAACAAAAATTAAAAAGGAATTTGATTATGTCTGATTAAAAGGCTAAAGGAATGCATGTTTTCTGGAAACCCACCAGGACTGTGAAGACCCCAACCCTCTCATCCGAGCCCTCGCCGTTCGAACCATGGGCTGTATTCGTGTGGACAAGATCACCGAGTACCTCTGTGAGCCTCTGAGAAAATGTCTGAAGGACGAAGACCCCTATGTGAGGAAGACGGCTGCAGTGTGTGTTGCAAAGCTGCACGATATCAACGCCCAGTTAGTGGAGGACCAGGGCTTCTTGGACACTCTCAAGGATCTGATTTCGGACTCCAATCCCATGGTGTGGCTCTTTCTGATGGCGTGACTGAATTCATGCAAGTCTTGCAGATGATGCAACCCTTGACCCCTTGTCTTTCTCTTTAGGTCGTCGCAAATGCCGTGGCGGCTCTGTCTGAAATTGCAGAGTCACATCCCAACAGCAATCTTCTGGACCTGAACCCTCAGACCATAAACAAGTTGCTGACAGCTCTTAATGAATGCACAGAGTGGGGCCAGATATTTATTCTTGACTGTCTAGCCAATTACACACCTCGGGATGATCGAGAGTCCCAAAGGTAAGATTATTATTTTGGTAGTGACTCCCACCTACATATTTCCTCTTTCTGCACGTCTCTAAATGTCTCTGAACAACTTCGTTTTCATTTCTTTGTTTCCCTCCTATTATCGTTATCATCTGCCAGCATCTGTGAGCGAGTCACCCCGAGGCTCTCGCATGCCAACTCGGCGGTGGTGTTGTCAGCAGTTAAAGTTTTAATGAAGTTCATGGAAATGCTCCCTAAAGACCTGGACTATTATGGCACTCTGCTGAAGAAGCTCGCCCCCCCTCTGGTCACGCTGCTCTCTGCTGAGCCTGAGCTGCAATATGTTGCACTCAGAAACATCAACCTCATTGTGCAGAGAAGGTATGTCGACAGAAAAGCAGTTTTTTGCACTCAATTTTGAATAGACAAAGCTTAATAATGTTTTTTTTGTTTTTTTGGTGGTGGTGGTGGTAAAATTTTGTACTTTTAGACCGGAAATCCTGAAACATGAAATGAAGGTTTTCTTTGTCAAGTACAATGACCCAATCTATGTCAAACTGGAGAAGCTGGACATAATGATTCGCCTTGCATCTCAGGCCAACATTGCCCAGGTAACCGTCAACCTATCCAAGATATATATATTCATCTTGATGAATGAAAATATCAACAAAAGTTGATTTTTGTCAGTAATTCAGTTTGAAAAGTGAAACTTGTACGTATGAAGAATGGTTACACAGTTTGACTTATTTCAAATGAATTTGGGGCTTTCCTTAACTTTAAGTCAAAATCATAGAATGAACAGAAATAATCTGAGTTGTAGCTTTTCAACTGGAATTGCTGGAATAAATGAGCTTTATGATAATATTTAGGTTCATTGAGGTCTTAATCTAAGGATGCAAATGAAAAGTAAAGATCCTGTTTGTGTGGTGCCTGTTTTTTACTCTAGGTGCTGGCTGAGCTAAAGGAGTACGCAACTGAGGTGGATGTGGACTTTGTGCGTAAAGCGGTCAGGGCCATTGGCCGCTGTGCCATCAAAGTGGAGGTTAGTGGAAATCACAGAGCACCGTCGCCAGGTTTTGTTTGTCAAATACTCTTCAGCAATCCTTCATATTGTTGCACTTACAGCAAAATTCACATTCAAATAAAATTCAAATGATAACTGACCACTTGTAAGGCACAGCTTTATGCACAAGGTGGCCCTGTTACTGAAAACACTATGATTTTAATTCATTGTGCTTTTTATTTCAGACGTGTAAAAATATTCTCATCTGCATAATGTTTTCCTCAGTCCAGGAAAACACAAATACTCAAATCATTGTTTTATAAATGAGCTCTGTTTATATTTTCTAAATATTTGAAAACTGTTATTTTTAACGTCTCTTGGGCTTTTTTTTTTTTTCCTTTTCCCACTATTAGCAATCAGCAGAGCGCTGCGTCAGCACACTGCTGGATCTCATACAGACCAAGGTCAATTATGTGGTGCAGGAGGCCATAGTTGTCATCAAGGACATCTTCCGCAAATACCCCAACAAGTACGTTTTGTCCAACACACCAGTCTTAACATTTACCTTTTCTCCAGAAATTTCTAGAAAATATGTAATTTCACTATTTTATGTAGTTTTATTTAGCAAATGATTCCCACAAAGCTGCTGATTTGTGTAAAAATGTGGAGGATATTTACCGGTAAACATGACATAGACAGTCATTACTTTGCTTTGTCTGGTTTGTATACAAGCGGACAAAATACCTATTCCATTAATCACTGAGCTGAAAATACAAAAATCTTAATATGACATTTTTATGGTTAAAAGTGCTTAAATTGTGATTGCAATTTTTGTAAATGGATTTCTAATTTTGGGATTTTTATTGAAAAAATTTTTTTTTGAAGATGGCTGACAGTTTTGTCATCTTATCAAACAACTAACTGAAGTTGACAATAATTATGCTAACTTTTATCATTAGATATTTGGCAAAAATAATATTGATTTCGTATCAGTTTCTTTCAAACTTATTTCTATTCTATCCAGAGCTAAGAAGATGCCATGGTGTGTGTGTGAAAGGGGGCAACTGCTAGAAAAGTTAGCATGTTTAACTGTAATCAGTATCTCTGCCTATTGCTAAAGTTTCTCTGCTATCCTAAATCTGAGATTTCCACAAAAAGCTGTCAACGTGTCAAAATTCAGATACAAGAAAACAACTTTTCTGGACTGTATTTAGCTTTTATTTTAGGTGTTAAAGCCTTTTTAACACGTCACTGATATTGAACATTTCTTGCCCTCATTAACAGCTTCCAAACTGAAGAGTGTTGTGCTTCACACATCAGGCTTTAGCAATTAGGGGAAATGACAGATTGGAGCTAGTGGTTTTTGTCAGGTTCAAGCTAAAAATCACTCCAATTCAGAATCTGTTTGTTTTTCTCTTTTTTTTTTTCCATTCTTAAAAATAAAATACAACATTTAACATTAATGGTTATTTTCATGTGATTAAAGGGAAACATTTTTGGATATACATCTTGTTTTATAAATGTTTGCCTGATAAGCGTTGGAAAGAGATTTTAAGGAAGGATTTAGGGGCCTCCTTAGATTCTCTTTGACAACTTGCTGGGATTCCACCTGGTTAACCTGTTGGTCTCAGGTTGTCATTCACAATGACAGGGGTGTCAAACTCCAGTCCTCTGCTGTCCTGCAGTGTTTAGATGTGCCACAGGTAAAAAACAGTGGAATGAAATGGCTTAATTACCTCCTCCCTGTGTAGATCGGTTCTCCTGAGCCTTGCTAATGACCTAATTATTCTTTTCAGGTGTGGTGCAGCAGAGGCACATCTAAAAGTTGCAGGACAGAGGCCCTTGAGGACTGGAGTTTGACACCCCTGTCACTAGAGGACCCAAATTTGGGTCCTCTAGTGACAGACAGGTTAAAGGTCAGGCTAATTTGGCGGCAGGGTGACTTCTGCTGTGGACGGGATTCATGTGGTAGACAGGAAGCTCGCCCACTCAGCAGTACACCATCGCCCTGGAGTCGTGAGCCTTGAAGGGAGCAGCTTTGCAAAGCCTATCAGCTCGGCATGGTTCACGCTTTGAGCCAAATGAGTCACCAGCTAGTCAAAGTTTGCTCTTTCCCATTAATTAAACATTTGTGCCTCAGCATAGCTTGTAGAAAAACCATTATGCAAATGGGAGTATTAATTGCTGCAAATTTTATGCAGATCAGAAGAACCTGAAGCACTTCAGAGGGAATTATGGTTGCACATTTTGAATAAAAGGACTGAATCCGTTGCCTAAATGTGTGCAAAAATATATTTTCATTTGTCAGGCTTCTGGGGAAAAAAAATGCCATGCTAAAGTGCTGTTTGATGTGAAATGGGTAATGAGGTGGGACCTTATGTCACTACTTTTGCGTACCCTAACAACAACTCAACCTTTTAGTTTCCTACCTTTTAGTTTTGGCAAAACGTTACCAGGTTGAGTTTAAATTGAATTGGAGACATTTGCAATTTGTTTAGCGCTTTTTTTTTTTTTTCTTTTTTCATCATTGCTGATTTATTATGTTTTATTGACAGTAATGTTATTTGGTGTAACTCCTTGCAGGTATGAGAGCGTGATTGCCACTCTGTGTGAGAACCTTGATTCCTTGGATGAGCCGGAGGCGCGTGCTGCCATGATCTGGATTGTGGGAGAGTACGCTGAGCGCATCGACAACGCTGATGAGCTGCTCGAAAGCTTTTTGGAGGGCTTCCATGATGAAAGCACTCAGGTGTGTTTAGTAAGCTGCCGGGTTTGTTGTTATTTGGAAAATGAAAAACATCTGATTGTGCTTCAATGATTTCTAATCAGTGCTGGCAGAGAAGAGTGTATATTTTCTGCATGAAAATTATTAATGCCGCTTTTTTTGCTGCTGTAAATATGGCAACACGTAGGAGGCATTGGTATAGATGAGCTTAAGAGATCAGGTTTTAATTTGGCAGTCGATCTTCACCAGGCAGCATTTAAATCAAAGGCGGACCCTCACTCTGGACACATTTAGTCAAAAAGCCTCTCTTTTCACGCTCTCGTGTGGTTCAGTGTGGAATACGACGGTTGTGTGGTTTTTCAATTCTGAAATTATGAAAGATGCAGCTCATAGTGGGAGGTGTAGAGCTGTAAAAGGTTGTTCCATCTGAATAAGTGAAGGATTGTCATGTTATTGCCTATAAAAGATTTTTGCTGGCGGAGGGATTTATTATTTTTTTTACCATGTTTCATAACATGGAGAAAAGATTCCCTTATTATATTAAATAGATTTAAAACCACAAAAACAAACTTAAAGACTGAAGCTTTGTATATTTGGTCTGTATATTGAGGTTTAGAAAACAGTTGTTTCTTTAAATCCACTGCGTTACAGATTTGGAGAATCCATTTTAAATCGTTTAAATGCGCAGCTGTAACTTGTGTTCACTGTGACCCTTTTAGGTGCAGCTACAACTACTGACTGCAATAGTCAAGCTGTTCCTGAAGAAACCCACAGAGACCCAGGAGCTGGTGCAGCAGGTCCTCAGCCTGGCCACACAGGTGAGAATAAAACCATAATAAATTATTATCTTCAACATTTTTCCATTTTGTACTTGAGTTGTTTCTACACATGGGCGTCCCGTTTAACTTTGCATAATCATGTTTGGGATAGAATTTGAAAAGGAGTGAAAGCTACATTTTTTGCTGCTAAATTGATTTAAAGTGTTTGATAAATGTGACTCTAGCACTTCCAACATCTCACTAGCAGGACTTTAAACTCTAGGAATGATGATGGAAAATATTGATGAAACTGTAAACTTTTTTAAAACCTTGGTATACCTTGATGCTCATAACTGGCTTATGCCTTTGCCCAGGTGCCTTTCAATCCTCTGTCTTCCTCTTTTTAATTTGGATAAAAGGATCGGTGATGCAAGAGAAGCAAACATGCTTTTGTACTCCCACTTTTTGACTCGGACTGATTCTGATCCTGATAAATTTATAAAGCCTTTAGCCTTCATCAGACTTTCTAAATTGTAAATTAAATGTGGATATTGGAAGTAGTTGCCACTCTCCTTCACCTCTGAGTTGGTCCAGTCAATAATCAGCAACATTTTCAAGCTAAACTAACTGTAAACTCTATAACTAGTAAGGTTATTATTTTAGTATATATCTGACACAGCATAGAAACAATCGTTTACAGTTGAGATGTTTTAACTGTTAATGTTGAGAGATTTTAGATCCAAGACCTGATCTCCCATTATTATGATTTCCAAGTGTTTTTAGATACTCTTCTGTTCCATTAAAGTTGATCTTGTCTTGTATGTCAATGTAGCTGTATCTTAATAATTAGGAACCACATATATCTTTCTATCTTGAACCTACTATGAACAGAGACCGATTGCATCTACAGGCTGTATAAGTAGAAATGTATGTTGTCGATTGATTTCATAAGATCATTCACTTTTATAGAGTGCATGTTTTAACATAGTAATGTATGTAATCCAACATGACAAAATTCAAGAAGAAGCTCACTGTATTACTTTTTTCTGTGTGGTGATGGTATTTTTAAATGTTTTCATAAAAAAAAAAAAACAGCATTGCTTCATGAACACAAATTGTTTTTCTGTGAGACTTCTGCAGGTTAGCGCATAATCCACAGGATTTACCTTTATTAATCTCTTTTAGGAGAGGGATCCGTTACCTTTTTTTTTTTTTTGCTGTTGGCCACTACATTGAGGCAAACTCAGTTTTAATACTGTTAATTCTCAGACCTTAGTCCCATATCAGGAACAGAGAGTCTAAACTATTTATTCTACATATTACAAGGATATTTAGTGTCATTCCTCCACGTCTGTCTGTAGGACTCTGATAACCCAGACCTCAGGGACAGAGGCTACATCTATTGGCGTCTGCTCTCCACGGACCCTGTGGCTGCCAAGGAAGTGGTTCTGGCTGAGAAGCCTCTGATCTCCGAGGAGACGGATCTGATTGAGCCGACCTTGCTGGAGGAGCTAATCTGCCACATTGGGACTCTGGCTTCTGTCTACCACAAGCCTCCCAGTGCCTTTGTGGAGGGCAGCCGTGGGGTTCAGCACAAGAGACTCCCAGGCAGTGCTGGATCGTGAGTTACACATTGAACCCTTTATGTTTTAACAGGCTTTTCTAAATGGATGTAGTTTTTTTTTTTTTTTTTACACCTTGGGTTAAAGAGGAAATACTTTTTTTTGTGCTGAAGATGCTTTGCACGTGATACATTTGCAAACATTCACTGTGAGCATGAGTGTCACCATTTTGAGGCTTCTATTGATGCATTAAATTAATATCTTGATTATGAAACTCACTTTACTGTGGAGATCGGCCCTGGCTTCACATCAGGTTTCAGTCCTTTTCAGTTCCTAGATTGTTTCTGAACATCTTGACCAATTTCCTCTCCCGTTTTAGTCGGACTCGATTCACAATGAGCCTACATGACCATCTACCCTCCTTTTGAAACGGCAATCTTGAAATCCATCCCCAAGGACACTTGGGAATGGATTTGCGAACTGTTCTTAAGACTGGTTTCCGAACATGCACCAATCAGTTTAAATGAGGTCTACTATTTCTGGTTTTAATAAAAAAAAAAAGAGCTCATTTAATCAGAGTTTTGATGGTAGCTTATTTAAAAGTATTTGTTTATAATTCCACACTGAAAACGTAAAAGTTCAGATGTGTCCTCAAAGCCTCAAATAAAGTGGCATTCATCTCTGTGGTGAGTGCATGTGCACCGTTTATTAGCAATGACACATTTTAATTAAGAAATTAATTAAAATGTTTTAATTTTGTTTAGTTCATCCTGTCATTTTGAACTTGTTTTGCCTCTTTCTAGTGGAGAGAGCGTTGAGAGCCCAGACACGGGCTCTGCAGCTGGAGTTTCTGACGCACCGCCTGCGGTCATACCGTCCCAGGGTGACCTCCTGGGCGACCTCCTCAATCTTGATCTGACACCCCCTGCCACCACTGGACCCCCACCCCCAGCCACTTCTGGCATGCAGCTGGGCGCCATGGATCTCCTTGGAGGGGGACTGGACAGCCTGGTACGTTTCAGAAGACCTGCTTGAGTCCGTCTGTCAGGTTTAGTTCATTTATAAGCTTAATGTCACTGGGTCTAAATTGTGGAACGTTTTCTATTTTTTACATTTTGTTCTTTCTTTTACTTTTTTTCTTATCTGTTCTTCTGTTCTTTGTTCAATGCTGCACCTGCAGATGGGGGATGAGTCTGAGCCGGTAACTACAGAGAAAGGGCACGATATTTATCAGTCATATAAAACCATTTTTAAAACAATAAGTCTTAAAGAGCCCATTTCGTGCTTAGGGGGATCATTTCTTTTGGGACCTCAGGTAGATGTTGCGCTCTTTGTCCCTTTGTCTTTTAAAAGCTTCACTCTAAAGCCAGTCTGCTCATCAGCCAACCTAATAAAACCAGTGCTAAGGAATGCTGTTGATGTAGTAATGTTCTGAGCAGAGTTGTAATACTCGACAAGCTGTGTTCACTCAAGAAATGCTTACAAATGTTAAACTGTTTATATTTCTCTCTGCCTCGGAGAAAACAGTTTTCTTTAAATGTTTCTGCTTGTACTCTCCTGCAAATCTAAATAAGTGGAAGAAAGACATCAACACACCATTTTAAACAACACAGCTGTTGTTAAAAACAGAGGCTTAAAGTTTTAATAAAGATTAGTAATAATTATCATTATACACTCTTGTCCCATCACTGAAATCTGTCCCAACTAAACTGGTGGAAACTGTGTAATGTAATTTAGTGGACTATTCAAACAGATTTTTATACCAGTCAAATAAAGTAGAGAAGCACTTTACTTTGAATTCTTCAGAGTTTATGGATGAACTCCAGCCAGGTTAAAGTTTTACGTTATGCTACATTTATTGAAACGGCTCAGAAGTGGAAAGTCAGTGGAGCTGTTTAATTAATGGAATTTTTACCTTGCAGGAAAAGTAAAAAAAAAAAAGCATAATATGGGCTCTTTAACCCCTGCTTACCTAGTTTCCACGCACCTGCCTTGATGTTTTCATTCATTCATCATCTCATATTGTTTTGACTTGTGCAGTTAGCTTGATGCTAAGTCCTGGAGGCCATCTCTCATCTCATTTTTTGGCTCTGCAATGTGTTTCGTCTTTCAATCAGCCGCCCATTCCCCTGCGGACGGACACTCCTCAGTCACCTCAGATCCCGCATCAGTCCCCGTCGCCCCCAGATTACAGCCCCACTGAGGTCGGTCCAGTGGACCATGCTGGGCCAGTAAAGGCCAGCAGCCTATATAGACCCTTACTGTTCCACTATTTCCTCTCCGTAGCATCCCCTGCAGTAATGGCTTCCTGTTTGCACTTGTTATTGCACTGTTGGTTGTCCCATTCACTGAAGGTGGGACTTTACTGAATCACAAATCATGAAGGTTTTGTTCAGTCTGTCTTCAGCCTTCACTTTGAGATGCATTTCAGTAAAACCTGTCGAATTTCACTTATTTGTCCCCAAGTAGGGGTAAAGCATACACGTCCTTTGTCTCTATGTACTTCACCTTTATTTATTTATTTTTTTACTTGCAAATGTATTTGTACCCTTGAACATTTTAATATTTTGTCACATAAAAATCACAGACTTAAATGCATCTTACTGAGAAATAATAAGTAAACACAAAGTAGTTCCTAATTGTGAAATGGAAGGAAATCTGTTCCTGGTCTTAATTTTATGTTTAAGTAATATCTGAAGATTCTGAATTTGTTTCTTCTTGCTGCTTTTTAATAAATTCCTGCTTAATGAAGTGCATGACTAATAGTTGCTCTGTAGAAAAATTTGCTCACCTCTCTGTTGCTCCTGCAGAGATGCCACAGATAATATTTACTAGTCAGGTGGCTTCTCGTTGCAATTGATTTCACTGGCTTTTATTTCGAGGTTTCAGAGCAAAAGTTGCTGAATATATGTATATGCATGCCACTTTTTTAATAATTTATATTGGTAAAACAGATTGGAATCCATGTTTTTGTTCCACTTCACAATTATGATTACTTTGTGAATAGCTGCGACTACTTCACTTAAAATCCCAACAAATCAGAATATTTTTGCAGGGTTCAGTAATAGTTTAAACCCTATAGCTACCATTAATCACACAGACATTTTCTAGCTCCTTTCGCTCCTCCCTCACCCTCTTCAATCCTTTTAGGGTGTTATCTAGTGTTTTTTGTTCATTGTATAGTTTTTAACATTCCTTATGTGCCTACTCCTCATGCTCAGCTCGGAGGAGACCTTGGAGGAAGTTCGGCCGTAAGTCCTTTTTATTAAAGGTCTTTTGAGGTTTAATGGTCTCCTACGGGGTAAAACTGACGGTACCATATGTTTTATGACCCTTAGATGGGGGCTGGTTTCGGTGCTCCTCCAGCTGCGCCGGCAGCCTCATTCAGCGCTCCTGTTAGCGGCGGACTGGACGACCTGTTTGATCTTGGAGGTGGCGTCGGTATGCCCATGGGCGCCTACAGCCCACCAAAAACAGTAAGTTCGTACTCTAGGATTGAAATTCACTGCTTGCATAATCATGGAGCCCTAACAATTCATCACTTTGTCCACAGGTTTGGCTCCCAGCCATGAAGGGGAAGGGGCTTGAAATATCTGGCACTTTTGCCCGCCGTGCCGGTGTCATCCAGATGGAGATGACTCTCACTAATAAAGCAATGAGTGTCATGACTGACTTTGCCATCCAGTTTAACAGGAACAGGTGGGATCGAGTTTTATCTTTTATTTGTTTACAGTTCTGTCACCAGTTGAATTTTGTGAAATTTCTTTCTCTTTGTTTGTCTTTAGCTTTGGTCTCGCTCCAGCTGGTCCTCTCCAGGTTCTGACCCCCCTCAGCCCCAACCAGAGCATCGAAGTGACCCTTCCACTCAATACGGTTGGACCTGTTATGAAGATGGATCCGCTCAACAACCTGCAGGTAAAACCTACACTATGAGCAACATTTCTAAATGTTACCTGGCTGGGTTGGTTTTCTTTCAGGCTCAGTGCTTTTCTGTCCATCACTGGCTGTGTTTCCATTACAAATGCGCACAAATCGTTGTCGATATTCTGCTAATGTCGAAAACCCCCCCACAATTTTGCAATTGCAGTGTTTCCATCCAGTAAGAAATGAAATTAAAATCACATGTGAATATGCTTGTTCATGCAACAAGTTATTAAAAACAATAGCAGTGACAGTTGTGAACAGTTACTTGACATATATATTCATAACTCAGCCCTGATGCTGGTGCTCATCATCTATCAGAGGAAACATCGGCGTCTTAATCAGGCGTTGGAGCGACAAGCCCTTATACTTGGCAGCGGCTACGTATGCAGTGTTTTTGAGAAATTGTAGTGTGTGATTTCACAGAAGAGCTATGGAGTCAACACATTTGAATGACAACTTTTTATGAAATGTGCAATGCTGTGAGAGCTCTGGTGGAGCCAGCTGCACATTGTCCCCAAAAACCCCCCAAAAACAAACCATCATTCTCCTACGACTTCCTGTCGTCGTCTTTGTGGTTTTCACCAGTAGTAACATCTGGCTGTTGATCACATGACTCACCAGCCAGTGTTATGCAAAAAAAGTTTTTCCATTGCAGTTTTGCGAAATACATTTATTTTAATATTGCTGAAAAACTTCCTCATCCTGGCGCAGAAATGTTTTTGTCAGAATCACTGTGTCTTCATTATCAAATTTACTTTTGGAATTTCAAGCAATTTTCTGATTAATGGAAATGCAGCTAGTTCAGGCTCTTGATTGATCAGGTATCAGTGCAAAACAGAGCCCCAATGCTGTTCAGCTCCGTTTGACTCGGCATCCTGAATGCATCCATTGAGACGCTGACCAAGTGTGTCGCATTGTTATTCTACCATGCTGTTAAAGTCCCATTTTGAGAATGAAACGGTTTAAACCCGTAACATTCACCAACGTTACTGTGAAAGGTTGTAAATGGAGCGATGGTCGGGTTTTGGTCTCTGTGGCCCTTTTTGACTGGGCTGACTATTGCTGTTTGCACCTGGGAAGGGAAGATAAGACTGTCAAAGGGGAGAAGAGAAAGGTGGGGATGGTCATTAATGGTTTCACATGCCTCCTCCTCTTTCTTCTCGCCTGAACAGCTTTTCTAACATTTCTTCTTTTCCTCCTCCATGAACAGTATTGATCTGGCCTATTTCCACTGTTCATAGCAGATTTTTCAGTTTTATTTTATAGGTTACACATGCAGATACCATCTGTATTCATGCCAACTTTTGTATTTTGCGTCTTCGTGGCATTTGTAGTGAAGTCCTCCTAGCATAGCAATGAAATCGTATAAACTGCACGATGGTCACACAGACCTGACCATCTTTAAAAATGCCTAAGTGGCAACACCAATGTAGCCTTTTCTAATAAAGCTCCATCTCAAAAACGTTGCATTGTTTGTGCTCCTGCATCTTAGGAATAAGATGCTGCATTGAATTATTCATGACTCGCTCTTCTAGCAAAGCTGCAGCTCTTTATAAAGCTGGCTAATGATAGTATCATTGCCTACTACTTGTTTCTGCAGATGCTTCCTTTATTAGATCTTTGTTGATCTGTTTCCCTCTCTTATGCTCAAACCTTCAGGACCGTAAAGCTGACTGAGAAGCTAAGGCAAACAAATTCCTTACTAAATCTGTGGCTTGTCAGATAAAATCTTTGGAGTATTTATAAATGTTCTCATTTATCCTATTTTTATCCTTGCTTGCTCCTTATTTCTCCTTTTTGGATCTTTATTTTTAGCACTTTTGATGCATTTTCAGAATGCTATTTGTAGATCAGAAACTTTTGCTTTCTTTAGATTATTGGTGTCGTATTTCAAAATAACACGCTGCAAAGATGATTTAAAAAAAAAAAAAAATCAAGAAACCAACAGTAAAAATGTACGTATATGTCAAGGATTATAATGTTAAATACTGTGTATGTCAAAACATTTAAAGAAGCAAAACAAAGAGGTGATCATTCTACACCGTTTCATGCTCAACACAGTTTAAAGCTAATTTGTAGAGCAGCTCATGTGAACTCTTGGTACAAAAGGTCAGGTTTCTTGAGGCTCATTCCTCCCACTTCCTCTAGATAAAACTCTAGTGGATTCAAAGCACTTATCAGAGCCTTGTTTAGAGAAAAATAGAACCTGGAGCTAAATAAAGCTTTGACTCATGTGTCCAGAAGAACGTTACTGCTTTTTAGATATTTATAAGGAGTGGAGCAATGCAGTTTCTTCCATTTGCTGTTTTTAGTGAGAGTTAAACTCATTTTATCACATATACAAATAATACAGAATCCTGCTAAAGCTGTTTTATCTGCTTCTACAAAGGTTGGACTGATTTATTTATTAAACCGTGTGGATTGGCAATGGGACATCATTGAGTACTGTGTGTTATTCAGCGGCTGGCTGAACAGAAAGAAGGATGGCAAATGGCCAGTTATGTCATTGGATGTGTTTTTGATTTTTCTTTTCCTTTGTTTTATTTTTGACGAACAGATTTGTGATCTGAAAGATTGACAACATTGAAAACAATCAAGTGCTGATTGGCTTTGAAATTATGATTATGAGACCAAGCCTGAAAAAAACATTCAATCCAGAGATCATCTCACACTTTAAGTTGGCACTTTTCAAAGCAGTTGTCACAAACACATTTGAAACATTACTTTTTTTTTTTTTTTTTTTTTTTTTTAAACTATTTGACAAGTTGAAAGATGTTGTTGACTAAATAAAAGGTACCAACAGCCTGGTGATCCGAAATTGTATTTTTCAGAGATTCGTTTGTATTTGTGAAGTCTGTTTCTAAATGAATAACTCTTTGGACTGAATTCGGAGGACATTTGCCTGCTCCGACTTTTTGGACCACACTAAGAGAAGTGACGTCTCTCTGTGAAAAGCACTTGAAAAGTAATTATTCTGAGATGGCTTCTTGTTTCTCCTCTCATCCGAACTTAATCCCCTCCCTGCAGGTGGCTGTTAAGAACAACATCGACGTGTTTTACTTCAGCTGCCAGTACCCCATCAGCATGCTGTTTGTGGAAGACGGGAAGATGGGTGAGTGCTTCCTCACTAAATAGCTTCGCACAAATGCCTCCGAGCCCTGCTGACGTCAGCCGGCGTACTATAAGCAGCCCTCGCTTGAAAGATTGATGCCTGTGCGACTCTTCCTGGACGTGTGCTGCGACTGCTTGTTTACTGTCCACCAGCCTAAAAGCCTGTCGCTTCACATGGCAGGGCAGATTATACAACGGGGCCATTTTGAGTCCTCTTTTTGTTTTTCTTTTGTTCTCGAGTTGCTGTTTGATTCATTTGGTGAAAATGTGTCGGCATTTGTCCCTGTGGAGCTGTCTGATGGGGCTAGCAGCATGTCTGCTGCCAGAGGCTGTGAGCTAATGCTCCACAGCCAAAGCCACAGCAGGACACCTCGTCTCCACAGTCGAAATGAACTGCTCACACACTGCTTGCTCCGGTTTTTTGTTTCTTTTCTTGTCTTTGCTGCACTGTGGGAAAACTCATAGTGTAACACAAATGGTGCTGCTATTGACCCATATATTTCAGAAAGCTTTTCTGGAACTCACCCAATGATTGCATGTCTTTATTAACAGAGAGACAAGTTTTCCTCGCCACATGGAAAGACATTTCTAATGACAACGAGGCCCAGTTTCAGATCAAAGACTGCCATCTCAGCTCGGGTAAGACGGGGGGTTAATGAAGAGAAAAACACATCACCGCACCGAAAAACGCAGCCTCTTTTCACACTGAAATAGCCAGACAGAGACGTGTCTATCTCAAAACTAATCCCAGCTAATGAAGCAATTTATATTTGATAAAGACTCATCAGCTGCACTCTCTATTTATGTGTCATAATTTAGTTTTACACGAGTGTGAGCAGCGCTGGACTGGAGAAGAATTCATAATAATGGCTTAATGGAGAGTTACCCCGACAGATTGAATTTCTTTTCCAGGAACAAAGAGAGAGGATTTCACGTCCTGCTGGGGTGCATCAGGGAGGCTGAGGAGTTATTTCAGAATTAGAAACTACACAGGTGTTTCACAGAAAGCCCGGGGTGAAAATGTGCTAGGGTAGGTTAAAGGAACAAGAGATTCTGCAGGGTCCAGTGCATTTAATGACAGACGGTCTCAGAGCATGATAGAAGTCAGCGAGGGGTTTAGATTTAAGTATCTGAGCCAAGATGAACTGTGCAGCACCGTTTTCAGCAGGGAGGTTGTGATCTCTTGTTGCGTTCTTTGTTAACAGATGCAGCCTCCAACAAACTTCAGGGTAGCAACATCTTCACGATCGCTAAGCGCACCGTGGACGGCCAGGACATGCTGTACCAGTCCACCAAGCTCAGCAACGGCATCTGGGTTCTGGCTGAGCTCCGGGTGCAGACAGGAAACCCGACTTTCACAGTGAGTCTTGCACAACAAACTGTTTGGTCTAATCACTGCTCTGATTGTGCTGCTAATTACTGAAGAAGGAAACAGCTGGGAGGAGACAAGGTCACTGTCAGCAATTTAGTTTGAAAGACAATTAAAATATTGAGAAATATTTCACCATGAGAACAAGCAGACATGGGAGCCCTCATATAAATAAAAGACGATTGACAGATGATTCCTTTGATGAGGAAAAAGGTTTTTTTTTTTTTTTTCCACAAGCTTACCTTCAAAGCTTTCTATAACCGATTACATCCATGGGTACAGTCAGTAAATTGCAGAAGTATTCACACCCCTTAAACATTTTCATTTTTGTCAGATCAACAACCTTTAATATACCGTTGACACATTTTACGTCATATATCTGCACATAGTTTTAATTTACTTAATTTCTGCCTAGGATTAATAGTTTTTTTGGTAACACTTTATTTGAAGGTGTGTGCATAAGACTGACATAAACATGACACAATAACCTGTCATGAACATTAAGGCGTCTTCTTGAATGTTTGACTGTTGTCATTCGGTAAATTTTTCCTTTTGTAACTGAACTAAATTTTACATCATTTTGCAAATAAGATTTTGTGCATTAGTATTCAGCCCGCTTTTCTTTGATACCCCCAAATAAAACTGATTGTCCTCAGAAGTCACATAATGGGCAGATAAAGTCCACTTGTGTTTCACATAATTGCAGTATGAATCCAGCTGTTCTCTGAAGGCCTGGGAGTTTCATCAGAGAACAAAATTCACACTTAAATTTTTTTTAAGAAGAAAAGGATTCGTGTTCATAGAAGTAAACGTTAGATGGTCTTCATCCTACATTGTGCAGATTCTCTCTTTGATTGCATTTTGCTTCCCCAGTCATCCTGCTATATCTGAATGAAGGTGCAGGGTTGTAAGAATAAGTTTTGTTTTGTTTTTCTCGAAGAAAATGACAATTTCTGACTGTAATCTCACAAAGTTGTTGTATGACAACATATTATAGTCGATGAAACTAAACAAGAAATTTTGGGCCATAATTCCAAAAGGCTTGGCACAGACGGTGACAGCATAGTCCCAGTATAAGTCGGCGTTGGTAGCATTACGCTTTGAGGTTTTTCTTTCTTTAAATGAAACTTTGCTTCGTGTCCAAATGTGTTTCAATTTTTGTCCAAAACTTTTCTGCTATAAATATGAAGATAGGTTTCAGATTTCACAGAGAGTCCATGCATACATCTAAATCCACAAAAAATGACTTAAAGCTGCAGTATGTAACTTTTATAAGCACTATGTGTTTTTACACATTTGTTAAATCTTCACCATGTTGTGACAGTATGGTACCGCTTCGTCAGAAACTACCAATTGGAGCCAAGAGGAAGATGTGTCAATAATCCTCTGGTACATGCTGCTAAATGTGCTAATGGTGGAGAAACACCATTACAGGAAACTGTTTATCCACCCTCATCAGGGAAGGTGTGATCAGTGTGATCCTCCTCCTGGCTCTGATTGGTCGTTTTTAACCGAGCTGTGTATTTTTGGAGATAGCTGTAGGACCACAGAGAGGAGACGGAGGATCTTTTTTTTCTTCTTCTTCTTCTGCAGACTCTAATATTATACAACACAGTGGCAATTTAAACAAATAAGTAAACACATATTTAAAATAAAGGCTACATACCGCAGCTTTAATGAGAAAGTTGCAATGTTTTGAAGCTGATTACCAAAGAAAACTGAATCAAAAGATGCTTCAGATTATGTTGATTTAACTCTGTGCATGCTTAAAGTGAGCAAGGTCATTCAGTTTAGTTTAAGAATCTTCTGTACTGAATAAAGTCGGAATGATTCAGTGATCAGACTGTCACCGCTCCATGACAAGGATCGAGACTATTGACGTTCTGGGATCCGAGTGAGCAAGCAGCCGTGACAGAGACGGATGCGCTGCGATGAGCAGCAAACTTCCTGAGTATTGTGTGGATGCATTGACGCATTCCTGTCCGTTATGACGTTGCGTGTCTCTGCTTTGTCAGCGAGTCTCAGTCATGAAGTTGAAGGATTGTGTTTGGCGTACAGATTCGGAGCGAGCGGTGACCTTGATGCGACTCACCTCCCTGCTCGTTCCTCCGTCAGCATTCGCCTCATGTTTAAGTTATGAGGCAGCGTCAACTGTCTTTTTGTTTACTCCTGTCTGGGCCAGTCAATTTATCAGTCATCCAATGTGTGGTCATTAAATCCTCTGAATTTTCATTTGGTTCACTCTTCCCTCAGTTTATCAATCATTGCACAGACCAACCTGTTAAACAGAAATGTAATTCGAATAATAAGTATCCTGGGTGATTGAGGAATATTTGTTATCCTGGAAGAAACGTGTAGTTTATTTTTTTATTTCACAGCACATCCTGTTTTTATTAAACTTTAACGATCCAGGAAGCTCGCTCTTATCCTTCAGTATTTTCTCTTCCTTTCTTTATGCTGTTCTTCTTCATTTTAAAGCCCAAAGTATTCCTCAGTGTCGCTCGAAGCTCACTGGTTCAGTGCCATTCAGAATTATTTAAAGCAACATGGGACCTTAAAATTTAACTTAACATTTTCCCTTGTCACATTTCTTTTCTTTTATTTAACTGATTCTTTTTTTTTTTTTGTAAAAGCCTCCTGAATATAATTTTAGTCCTAAAACGTCTTTTCTTCTTGGGTTAACTTCATCCTTCTCATCATCATCTCTGACTTGTTTGCCTCTTCTTGTTGAAGATGATGCATCCCTACAGCATGATGCTGCCACCGACATATATCACAGTGAGGACGGAAGGGTCAGACTGATGTACAATGCTAGTTCTTGTAACATATGACATTTTGCATGTCATCTCAGAAATTTCTGTTTTGGCCTCTTCTGACCAGAAAAGCTTCTTTCTCATATCTGTTTTCTATTTTCTTGCTCGTCCTCCATCGAGGTCAAACTAATAGTTGCCCTGTCAGCAGTTTTCTCCCACCTGAGCTGCAGCTCTCTGCAACTCCTCCAGGGTTACCGTGATCGTTTTGATCACTTCTCTCCTTTCATGAGCTCTCCGTTTAGATTTCCCACCATAACTGTTCTCATTTTCAAATGACTGATTCAAGATCAAGAGATCCTCAGAGCTTTGGGATATTGTTTTTTGATCTAACGCTGCATTAATGGCATTTGTTCACAGATTTTTCTTTTCTCTAACAAACCTGTTAAATACAGGTCAGCTGTACTGATTATATTGTAACATGACAAAATGTAAAAAAAAACAACAACAAAAAAAAACAAGGTCTTGAGGAGCAAATGGTTTTGCACAGCACAGTAGGCTGCAAACTGTGCAGTGAACGTAAGCGCAGAGTTTATATTGCTGCATGCACATAATGTACAGTGACGCTGTGAGCTGCTGCAGGGTCCCAGCGCTCTCTTGGCACAGAACATTAAAGCCAAGCTGCCAAAGCCTTTTGTCGAACGCTATTTTTAGACCTGAAGGAGTAAAGCCCTGCCACTGCATTTTTCACTGGGTTTTACGGTGTTTCAGAAAACAAACAAAAAAAAGGGATTAAGAATCATTTTCTTCAGAGGAAACATACACTTCTGGGTCCTTTTTTTTTCTTTTTTTTTTAGTTTTTTTTTCTTCTTCTTCTTTCTCCTGCTCTGCACCCAGTGTTGTTTTGAACCATAATCATAGCTTGGCCTATTTTTCCTCATAATCTAAACTTGATTGACTTCAGCTCTCCCACGATACCTTTCTATTTATATGAACTATTAAAGCTTTGTCCCAGTTCCACTCCCCAGTCTGCTTCTTGCTAACTCTTTGGAAAATGTGTTTAATTATTTAGGAAGCTAAATAATTAAAAATCACAATTTTGAATTCAGATTTTTGTTTTGTTTTTGTTTTTTACAAAAACAAAACAAAGATTTTACAAAAGAGAGTTGCTCACTTTAGAAATTGGGTAAACTAAAATCTTTATGGGTTACCAGAAATGTAACAATTTATTAGTAATATGAAGAATCGGAGCTCCAAACCTGCATTGCTGAAGACTCGTCACCTTTTTAGTTGATATGACGTTGTATTCGTTGGAGCCACGTCTCTAACAATCCCACTTTTCCACACATTCACACCTTCCTCTGCTGAAAACAGCTGCCTGCTGCAGGCGAAAACAACTCTACGAAGGTGATGGGAAGAAAGGAAAAAGTGAGAAGTTTTCAAGCAGACAGAAAACACGGCAGAGTGGCTTTTATTCCTGTACGAAACATCAGCTGCAGCTCCTGTCTACTTCCTTTAACGACCTCATTTTCCATCTCTGAACTTATGTACACTGTATATCTGGGAGCTTTGGGATGCTGCTCATCTTCTTGACATGAAGCTGGGCTGTTCTCATCTGCCATCTCCTGTCCCCATGGCAACAATGTGACCAGTGATGTTGGCTGATTTATTTTGTTTTATTTTCCTCTTCTCTGCCCACCTCTACAGCGTGTTCTTACTGTTGTCAGTAAACTCAGAAATAGAAACTCCATGAATACACAAGGCTTCGGTTTGCCTACATATCCATTTCTGTTCAGCATACGAATATTGTACATTGGGATTCTCAGGCTGAGAGCTTTATTGCTTGGGTTTTTTTTAATCAAAGGCCAAAAATTTTACTTTCTCAATATTAACAGCTCAGAAGTTTGCATACGCTCATAATTGGGGTGAATGTTGTTTTACTTTGAAGCTTTTTGGGTGATTTTTATTTTATTTTTATTTTTTAAGATTAACTGGTGACAAAATTAGCAACGTCAATCGTTTGAAACAGGACTCATTGTTTTCTTTTTATTGCAGTTTCAGAGTAATCCACTCTTCTTGGCAGATGTGTACAAGTACATTTTATTTGATTAGTTTGTTGGTGGGTTTTTGCTTTTTAGGTCAAATTTGAGGTCATTCTTGTGTTGGAACATCAATTCGTCATCATCAACAGGAAGCTGCTGTTATGTGGATATATCCTGTAGCTTCATGCTACCATCTCCGCTCTTCAGAGTAGGAATATTTGGGTTTTTGTTAGGTTTGGAAGCCCCACATTGACTCAGACATATTCCTTGTCTTCAGAAAGCTCAGTCTTTGCACCATCAGACCAGAAAACTTTTCTCCAGAGAGAATTGAGGTTTTCTCTGCAGGCAAACATGAAGGACTTGATCGATCTCAGCATCTGCAGTTCGGTGGTTGCTGAACCGCAGATGTTCAGCAATCACTGCAGTTGCTGAACATCTGAGCTCATTTCTCTTCATGTAAAGACGGCAGTTTGGAGAATAACGGATGGAAAAAAAACAAAAAAAAAACATTAGCAGTGTTTTTGGTATCAAAATAATCAGATGAGGGAATAACTAGGATAGCAGCTCAGTAACAACTTGATAACCGGTCTGTTTCTGTGACGCATCTCTTCACCTTTGCTTTGTTTATCCCGATTAAATCTTTTAATTGTTGATTTGTCTCGCTCCAAGGAATCACACTGATTTAAGTTTCCATCCAGCTGCTGCTGAAAACATTCTGTCAGCAGGCAGCCGATTGACTTTGGATTGTTTCCTTGCTGTTCGCTGCTGTCGTTAAATTATTTCTCATTGTGTCTGGTGTTCTTCTGCGTTGGCATCAATACCTGGTTTCACTTTATGTTTAATGCAGGCTTATTTCTGGACGCCTCTGTCGGGTTTCTCCTCACAAACTTCCCAGCCGGTTGTTTTCTTCTTTCTTTGCGCTGCATCATTTGCATTGCTTTCCTTCCTCACTCTGACCTGTTGATTCTGCAGCAGAAGGTCTGTGTGCTGAGCTTTCAGAATCAAACTCAGATATTTTAATTTATGCTATTTTATTTGATTCTTAAGGTTTGAACTAATATTCTTGCAGAAATATTTTTGCGAGAATTATTGGTTTCTTCTGGGATACAAATAAATCAGCTCAAACGAGTTTTACCTTTTATAAAATAAACAATTCATATTTTTTACAGTTTTATTCAGTCTGTTACATATTGAAGACATTGAAACAAATGTTAAATGACTTGTTTTAATTGAATCACTTTTATAGCGAAGCGAGTCATTCTTCCAGCATTGTAAGCTTCATTAAAGGTGATATTAACGGGTTTTTGTTGCAGTTCACAGAACTGATTGTTTCTTTACTTACTGGAAAACACAGAGTGCATATCACAGATTAATCTAGGACGGTACATAGAAACCTCTCCGGCTCGTGATGTTGCAGTTTGAGATTTTATTTTTCCCCACCCGGCGCTTGGCGCTTGCAGAATCAAAACACTTTGATAGTAAATGCTCGTATTTTTTTTCCAAGAGGGAAAATAAAACTGTGTAGGAAGAATCCATTAATATTTAACTCCCCGTTTTCCCCTCTTCTTCCTACTTGAGTTTGTAATTTCCTCGCCATTATGCTCCGAGGACGTGGCGCTGCTGTTATTTTAAAAACAAGCCGAGCTCCCGCCTGCTGCCGTTAGGAGTTGTGCGCGGCAGCCGCAGCTTCTGCGCTTCCTGCCATTTTGCCGATAGCAGCACAGCTGTCTAAATGCCGGCAGCAGCAGCACTGTGTATTAGTGAAGAGCCCGGAGAGCCGAGGGAGGCTTTGCTCCGCTGCGGCGTTATTTATCGACAACCCTGCGTTTCCCGCTTTGCGGCTCTTCAACATATCATCCCATTTCAGGTGAATACCTGATCAGTGTAATTAGGATAATGGAGTAAACATTATAGAGAATTAGGGGCGCTGATACGGGGACAGGCAACAGACAATTGATGGCTTATAACAAAATAAGTGAACACACCGGCTTGTAATTAGGATAATGGAGGATTACTCAGTGTAATATGAATTCAGAAAGAAAAAAAAAAAAAAATCAGCATCAAACCCAGTGAAAAGCTTCAAATATGAGAAAAGGAAAGCTTATTTCCTTTTCTGCTTGATAAGATGAAAGATCCAGCCGTCGCTGCAAGCAGCTGTTTCAAAATACGCCGCTTTACCTGAACGTGCCACTCTGGGGGTTTGACTGGTACGCCTCGGGGTTGTACAGCCACAATGTGACCCTGCCTCCTACGCACTAATCAGCTCCTCCTCAGTGTAACAAATGGGATTCTGAGCGGTGACGGTGATTACAGCAGAACGAGCGGCAACGCGTCTCCGGGGGGGGGGACAGGTTGTCCTCGTCCTTCCCATCAGAGACACCTGGGTCATTAAAGCTCCTGGCTGCCACAGGGCTGAGAGGTTTTCACTCCTGCAGAATTTTAATTACTGCATTCCCTCCTCCCCCAAATCCTCTTGGTCCGATTTGCTTTCTGCGACATCATGGACTGATGCAAGCAAGAACCCCCGCTGCCTGGTGTTTCCTGTAAACGGCACGCTCCTGGTTGGGAGAAAAATAATATCTGCAGTCTGATAGGAGGAGGGGAGGGCGGAAGGGGGACTCACTTTATGATGCTCCATTAAATCCAGAACCTTTTCCCCAGCTGAGGCCGACATCAAAGAGCATGCAGGCCGCCGTTGTTTCCTCCAGTGTGCTTATGTATCTGTGTTTCTGTCCGTAGGTCTGCCTGTGCCTGATAAGACTAAATTGAGGGGCTTTTAATCCGAGGCTCTTTTTTTTGTTCCTCCCATGTGAGAAATAATTTTTGCTGTGTCCCGATGAATATGTTTAAATGAGTGATCGAGTCTTTCTAATTACCCATCATGGCCTGATTTACCCCAAAAAATCTCACAAAACTCGACTCAAGAATGTTGATTTCTGAGGCAGTCTATTGGTATCGTTCATTTTTAGGCTGTTTTATTAAAATTAGTTTAAATCAGTTTTGTTTTTTCTTTGTTTTAACCGTTTGAAGTCTTTTTGTTTCTTTTTTTATTTCCTTTTTTTGTTTTAGCTTATTTCCCAATTTTGCTTTTTGACTTTACCGAGTGATCAACAGTACTTTTTTCAGTAAAAATATGGAGTTCACTTTAATACGTTAGGGTAAAAAAAACAGGAAAAATGCCTAATTTAATCCTCTTTTTGCTCGTTCATTTTCTAAAGGGCAACAGTCTAACGGCTTGATTTATATAAAAACTGACATTTCTGATCTACCCCATCATATTTTAGCATTTTGGTTTTGTCTCGTATTGACTAAAAGCACCAGTGTTCAGAAACTGATATGCTGCTACATTTTGGCCTCTTGACAACTTTCAGTTCAGGTTGAACTGGAGCTGCGGCTCCTAAAGTGCGTCTAATGTCCATGTATCAATAAAGGTGGCGGTACCAGTTCATGGTTTTTCTTTCATTATTTGTGGCTCCTAAAGACAGTAAAATTACTATTTAAGAAGATCCACAGATTACACTTTGTAAATGTCTAGAATTTTTTGTACAATTGAGGGGAAAAAAATCTAACTTTGAATCTGGTAAATCGTTTTATAGTAATGAAAATAATAGAAAAAAAAAATTAAGTGGAATAATATATATTAAACTCATTTCCCCAAAAATGAAAGGATCCATTACTAAAAATTATTTTTAGAAGCTCGATTGCTGCTGGACTGCTGGTTTCATTCAATGTTTGTTACTGTTTTCTTCTGAAGGTAAAAAGAAAAAACAAACAAACTTGATCTTTAACTCTAGGTCATGAGTTGTCAAACATTTTCTTTAAGAAATAATGTACTTCAGGGAACATCTTTGAGCACAAAGATTTTAGATGAGATCAGACAGTCAGCGGTCTTATCGCTCGTTAAAACCTGCATGTCGTTAATCAGCTCCTTCTGTCCCTCAGGTGTGTCTGAAGTGCAGAGCTCCGGAGGTTTCTCAGTGCGTCTTCCAGAGCTACGAGGCCGTGCTGAAGAACTGAGCCGACATCTGACCTTCCGCTGCGCTGCATCGACCTCCTGGCACCTTCTTCTGCCCTTTCTCAGCGACGCGTCGACCAGGCCGCAGCCTGGCGCAGCGCAGAAACGCCGTCCTGCAGTCGTACTGTCCTTTCAGTAGACGGCCTCGCCGTCGGTTGTAACCTATTAGAGCAGCACTTTTAGTTCCCGAAAAGACAGCGGCGATTTCAGGCTTTCCACCTTTTAATTATGTTTAGTTCAGGATTTTCGCCTTGAGCTAAATCATTCGAACATCTCCAGTCTTTCTTGCCTTTCCTTCATAATGACCCATATTCATTAAGGGCCAGACGGCGGACTGACGTCTGTCCCTGTGACTTTCTCTGCATGAGGCTTTGCAATCATTTTCTAGCCCCAATTCTCTGCAAACTTCAGTCTATTTTTAGCACCTGCAATCAGCAGGTGAGCCATCAGCTTCAGTATATTTATTTAGGGGTGCATTTAAGTTGAGGCGCAGTAGAAAGAGGCCTGTGTCTGGTGGACACGTAATTACTTAAACTACACTATAGTGATTTTTATAAAGTTTTCTTTAGTATCTTTACGGAGCGGTGGATTTGGATCTACTACTGTTTCTGAAAGCAGAATGTCTGTCCGACGTGTGCATGGAAATCTGTGCGTTTTTGTTTTCGTTTTTACATCAATGTCTTGACATTTAGAGACTAGCAGCAGGTGTCAGCTCACTGCTCTCGTGCTTAGTCATTCCATGGTTTAATTTGTGTTTTGTATTCTCCCTGTTAGTGTTCATGCAGCAAGCTGGAAGAGAGCCTCAGGGTGCAAGGTTTCTTTTTTTTTTTTTTATATGTCCTGACGGCTCCTGCGTCAGCGGCGGCCTCTCGGGCTCTCTGCCACTCTGCTCTCGTTTCCTCTGAAACCTCGCTGCAGCTCTCCACCCGGAGATGAAGGCCCAGGTGACACAAACTAATGTCGTCATTTGTTACAGATAAAAGCATACATGTCGTAGCACACTGTCTCACCTGAAGGAGGGCTAATTGGATTTGTTTTCCAAGTCGTCGCTCTGAAGCCCTTTGTCTCTTCGGCATGAATGCCCCCACTCTCACTACTTCATGAAAATGCATTCTGTGTGCGTCCCTTTTGTGTGTGTTGATGGATGATTCATATGACATATGCTGTGTTAATTAATCAGATGTTTAATCAGAGTTTCTTGATTTACTTGATTTTTGTCTTATGTGTGTACGTCGTTTGGGGAAAAAAAAAAAAAAAAAAAACACGATTAAAGTCCTGACGAATCCACGTGGTTGTTCTTGTTTCTTCTCCTGACATCCCAGGTTACCACAGGATGTAAAACATTACCTCAGTTATTTGCTCGGTAAAGTTCACGTTTTTATAGACCCCTCCGGTTTGTTTTCCCACAGCGCTCCGTAACAACCGGTGACCTTTAAGATGTCCACGTCTCTGCTCCCAGGTCACCAGCTGCCAGTGTTGCACACCTGATGCTCAAACATGCAAACAAAACCCTGAACTCTCTGCTCAGCACTCCTTCGTACAGGATTCGTACAGCTTGAACTTTTCCACCTTTTCACTTGACACAATCTAACACGTAATTATGAAAGGGAAGAAAATTCAACTTTAATTTCCCAAAAAAAATCTTTGTGATTAAACAAGAAAAATCTGAAGGGATCAGTTGTGTTCAGTTCCCTTCACTGATGCTCTTAAATAAGATTCAGTGCAACCAGCTGCATTTACACCTCACCCCATGAATCCACCTGTGTGTAATTGAGTCTGGGTAAACCTCCAGCTCTTCTGTGAAGTCCTCAGGGGTTTGTTAGGGAACCAGCGACATGTAGAAGACCAAGTAAATGCTAAATGGATTTAGCTTCTACAGCACTTTGTTATTCGGGCAACGAGCGATGGTTCTACACAAGCCGCGTTCACCCGGCCACACTCTAAATATTCGCATTCATGCACTGATTCACCAATCGGTAAGGAGCTAGTGCAGGGGTCCCCAAACTTTTTCCTGTGAGGGCCACATGACTGTTCCCTTTTCTGGTCGGGGGCCGGTCTTAGTTTTTTGAGAAAGAAACCTTAGAAAAGTTTTGTTCGGGGGAGGGGGGGAGAGTGAAACTGGACTGGGGGCGGGATTGGATTACTGCCGACGACATATTGTATATATTCCATTGAGGGAAACCAAGTTTCATATCTGCTCAAGAGCCCCCCTGGTGGTTGAAGAAAAATCCACATATATATGAAAAAAAACACTGAATGCTCTCTGGTATTGTTCAGGGGGCCGGACCAAATGAGGAGGCGGGCCGGATGCGGCCCGCGGGCCGTAGTTTGGGGACCCCCGAGCTAGTGGGTTGAGTTCCTTGCACGACTTGAATGGCCCAATCAAAATCCAGATCAACACCCTTAAGTAACCCAGACTTGCCCATAAACACCCAAATTAGTTTCACCAAGAAAATGCAAAAAGTCTCTAGCTTTGCAGAATATTGACTGATCTCAGATTTTTACTTTTAACCTAAATGTAAAAGCCTTGTATTCTCCTTCCACCTAACAATTATGCACTACTTTCTTTTGGCTTATTACGTAAAATCTCAAGTTGTGTTGTGGTTGTAATTTGACAGAATATAAATATACTCTAGTGGCACGAATATCACTGCAAGCCACTGCACTCTCCACTGGGGCTGTGGCTCTCTGCAGCAGCAGCCAGGTGTGTCTTAAAAGTCCAAAGTGCTTTTTATATGTAACCAGGATTTCTGCTGGTTGAACTGATGTGAAACACAAACACACAGATACTCAGACTGTGAGAGAGAAATGTCCCTGTGCGTCCAGCAACAGAGAATCGGCGGCTGGCGAAGAGTCAAACACAAAATCTGTGATAACCATCAGATGTTCTGTTAGTAGGAGAATCTGATATTTATCATCTGTTACACAAGCAAACCGATGGAGGGCGCCAATTCGCCTACTTTATTGGCACGGTCTCAATCGAAAAACAGAAAATCCTTGTTTTTAATCCTTCTGTAGGGGTTTATTCTGTGGCGTTGGAGAGAACCAGAAGGATAGTCCAGTGTTTCTGATGCTTGAACTCTAAAAGCTGCAATGTAGCACATCGCCTCTCCTGTCATTCTGAGTTTACTCCCGGCAGCCATTTAAACACCTTTTAAATGTTTTACTGCAGTAAGATTGGCAGGCATGTGTTCATGGTGAGAGCAGAGAACACCAGATGATGTTTTATGCTATTTATGCACATCTGAGGTGGAGAAATGAACGTTAGAAATCTGAGTATGAAACGCTGGGATCAGGAGTCTGTCGCAGCTGAGGCAGTCCTGTCCACATACTTTGAGCTTTGACAAGAGACAATGGATACATGTTTCCTGCTATGCTGTATGCTCTTCTATTGTTGGGATTCAAAATTTAATGACATAAATAGTTCTTTAAAAAAAAAAAGCTGTTATGTTTATAATATTTTTTTTTGGATGCTATAAACAGAAAAGGGCATTTTTAAGAGTTATGTCAAGGTACTGAATGTGTCTCCATACTTTGTTTCCATATGTAACTGCAGATAAAATGTTGAACAAATAGGCTGTCACCGTCCTGGTGAAATGTTTCCATCCCACTCATCATCATCAGGTTAAGTTTGAGTATTTAAAGGCTTCATTTGATCCCTTCAGTGTTTACTGATCAACTAACGTCTCAAATGAGTTCAGAAGTTGGTTGTCACTTGCCAAACTTTTTCACTCCAGAACAACCAATAGTTATGACATTGTTGAGGAGCAATATGTGAACCTCGGAGCTCCAGCCGTATGACTGTCCTCGGTGTTGGGAGCTACACATCATGGTGGACTGAGAGGATTTGAACCAAGAAAGAAGCTTCTTTTGAGTTTTAATAGAATTTGCAGTTGCCCAGATGTACAAGCGATGCCTTCTGGTGAGTGGCTTTATGCTCAGATGAGACAAAGACCGAGTGATTTGCTCCCAAATGGGAAGACGAGAAGAAAGTTCTGAGAGCTTCACATGAGGCTTTGAACCGGGGAAACATCTACTAACAGGCAAGCATGGCAGCGGACGCGTTATGCAGTGGGAAAGGACAAAGTGGATGACATAAATACGGCGGACGGCCTCCATGTTATTCAACTCAACAACAGGACAGCTGAAACTTAGTTTGTCAGGGGAAAAGTTTACAACAAATTCTTTAACAAAATTCATTTAAGGTGCCGTTGAATAATTTCACCCTGAACAGAAGGAGAGTTCAAAAACTCAACATGTATGTTGAATTCAGGCCCACAATGAGTGAAATTACTGCAAATTGATGCCTTTTTCACAGCTATCGGTTTATATGACAAACACCAGCTCTGGTTTAATCACCAAAGAAAACTCTGACAGAGTAAAGTTTTGCACTTTGCTCCTGTCAGAAGCTCATCTCCAGTCACTTAGAGACACGTGATGTTTTTTTTTTTTTTTTTTTCCCAGACTGATCCACTGAGTGGAGCTGTCACCAGGCTGTGATTGATGCCACGCATTTGACCGAGAGCCCTACCTCCAGACCCCATCCAGCAGCTAATAGGTCACCCAGAGATGTGATGTTCAGCCTGCATGACCCCCCACACCGTGTTGATGTATGGTGCTGGATGTTGATGTGTGTGGCCTGCTCCTTTACCGTCTATTCCGCGGCGTTATGGGAACACCACGCTTTAACACGCGTTTTGCGCACGACCTGATCCTATTGGATGAGCAGTGCAGGGGATATTAGTGATGATGGAGTGAGAGAGGGAGAGAGAGAGAGAGCTCCTGTCTCTCCAACGGCAGACGCACAGCGCTCCTGATCGCACTCTAGATGCCTTTACAGCAGACGCACCTCTGTCGGCTGTGATGATCGTTCCCCTCCCTCCCTTGTGCAGCGGAAGGCGAGAAGACTCCGAGGTTTGATGCCATTGCAGAACACGTGGAGAGCCTCTTTAGGAGTCCCCGCGGCCGTGCGCCTTCCCTTCCTCCCCCCTCCCCGCCCCGCTGCCATGGAGGAGCGCGCAGGCGGTGGTGCAGCGCTGGGGAAAATGAGCGAGAGGTGCAGAGGAGGCGATCAATGAAGGCGCGGAGAGCTCCTGCGCGTCTTGGCAAGGTCGGAGCCGAGCGTGGATGAGATTATGTCCGAGTGGAGACGGCAAGGAGGGACTTTTCTGCTTCCTCTCCGGGGATGCCCCCTGAAAAAACACAAAAAACAACAACAAGAGTTTCTCTCTCAGAGGCGACGAAGACCCCTTTCCCTCCGTTTGCGCGATCATGCTTGAGTCTGTATTTGTGACAATCTCTTGTCGCTCCCACCTGGGAGATGAAGTTTCCTCGCTTTGGATGATTTGTCGGTTTTGTCGCTCGCTGCCGAGGCTACCTAAGGTGATTTAGAGGCTGCTGCAGCAGCAGCAGCAGCAGCAGCGGGGAATCCAGCTGTGTTTACTGGACGGTACGCATCTGCCGCTGTCGCTGTCCATGGTGCTGAATCCGGGCTCCAGGGATGGTGGAGACGCTGAGTATCGCAGTGATCGGTGCTCCCGGAGTGGGCAAAACTTCTATAATCCGCCAGTTCATCTATAACGATTTCTCGGAGGCGTACACGCCGACCAGGAGCAGATATGTGTACAGACCCTCGGTCATTCTGAACGGGAACATGTATGAGTTAAAGGTTTTGGACGTCCCGCCAATCTCCTCCTTCCCAGCAAGTGCCAGTCAGGTAATGTGGCTCACTTTAAGCAGATGTTTTTAACCCCGAAATGATTCTACTTTAACCTCGCACAAATAGATCATACAATCCATGATTAAATACACACACCAACACGGGCTTCACGTTGATTCTCATTCATTTTTCATTCATTTCGGCTGCCTGACCTTTACCCTATTCTAACCATTTCCATTGGGTCCCTAACCCCTAATCCTAATCTAAACTCAATTCACACGTTAGTCCTAAACCCAAACCCTAACACAAAAACAGCAGTACTTCTTTTGGGGTCCTGGAATGGGCCCCATAAGGAACAGTTGGATCCCTACAAGGTAGTATTTGTCAGGAAAATGGTCCTTAAACTGTATTAAAAACAAGGCGACACACACACACACACACACACACACACACACACACACACACACACACACACACACACACACACACATTCTCTGTTTTTAACTCAAATCTTGATTAACTAATCAGCATCTCTTGGCTACTGCAGCCAGATGACAAAATAAGAACCTTATTTATCCCTTTTTTTCCCACTATCAGATGCCTTTACTAGTTGCTATGGAGACTGACTTAAAGCCTTGGAGCATCAGTTTGTAAACTACACCCCCTCATGAGGAAATTATACATTTCTTAAAATCAATCACGAGGTTGTCTTTGGTCGATTTCTGACTACAATACGGCGGCGCTCAGAGTCAGGTGCATTCAGATGAGCTGATGATATGATGTTGCTGCTGCATCTATTTAAACTCTCTGTGAAAAGACAGAGCAGACTGGGCTTTTATCTACAGCCAGGGGTCATCTGCTACCTCTGGTTAGCAGAACACACGTTGAAGTGAAGGGATACGGCGAGAGAAGGCTCTCTGTATCTTTCTGTGTTTTGCTTTAACAATGAGTTAAAAGCAACTGAGTGTCCTTCAAAGTTTCTCTTTTCTGTTTCTCTTTTAAATGAGCGTATTTAAAATATTGCCTGTTGCAACTATTTCCAGTGATGGTTTGGGACTTGTCCTTTGATGAAAATAATTTAAAAAAATAATTAAAATGTCAGAACATAGATTGTGAAGTTTCAATAACTTGAATTAGTTTTACTGGGCTTTAGAAATAAATAAATAAATAAATCCTGAGCACCAATCCTCCAAGTCTTAAATCCCGTCTTTGTGCTGCCGTTCCTCTAGTGTGGAAACACAAAGAGGGAATTTGGAGGACTTTAGACAGCTCAGAGAGAAACCCGCTTTATGTGTCAAAATCAGACTTCAAATAACCATTAAACATTTCTTTGCTATTCTCCATACATACAGTGCTTTGCAAAACTTTTAATACCTCCTGAAAATTTTCACTGTCGATTTTCAACCACAAACTTTACTTTGTCTCATTAGGATGTTGCTTAAAAGACCAAGAAACAGAAAAGGCGCATAAACATCGAGATCAAAACAAAATAAGGGTATGTTTTCTAGAACGGTTTACAAATAAAAAATCTGAAAAGTGTGTTGTGCATTTGCATTCAACCCACCTGATTCAGTACCTTGTATTTTGACTTTGACTGGATCATGGAGCCACAACGCGTTAATAAGCAGTTTTACTGTAGCTGTGACTGTGCTGTTCAGGGTCGTTGTCCTTGGTAGAAGGTGAACCAAGCCCTAAAACTCAACGTCTCAAGAATCAAACAGATTTCTTTAGTGATTTTCAGAAGTTTACCATCATCCTTGTTCCTGTCAACTCTGGCATGGCCTGTGTCTACAGAAGAGAAACATCACCATGGATTCTGCTGTGACGCTGCCACCTCCATGTCTCAGGGTGGCGGGGGGCGGTGAGATGAAAGAGTTGGATTTAAGTTTCAACATCTTTGCTGTGTCCTCTACAC